TCGACTACGTGGGAGTTCAGCGACACAGCCATTGCGCTAACTGCTGGTTCCCTCTTTTTTTACTCTTAAAATATTTACCAGAGAGAGAGAAAGGGAAAGTGAAAAAGCAAGTTGCCAAGTCTGGTACTCGAACTGGGGTTGGCCAAGTGGGAATCCAGTGCCTTTAACCACCATGCCACCTGCCGGCACTTATAATGTAATTTTCTCTGGAAGAGTGTGTCACGACTTTCCTGACAGTCCAGCATTTACGTGTATGTGTGTGTCTCTGTGAAATGTTATGTGCAGTTGTGTGGTTGTGTGTCATCACCACGGAGATAGAGATTTAGAGCTGTGCTCCCCCTTCAAGGCTTCCCTGTTACAGCGTACCCAGCCCCTCCCACCTTCTCCCTAACTCCTGGCAGCCGCTAATCCGCTCTGTCTCCCCAGTATTGTCCTTTCAGTGACGGTAAATAAAGTGGGGATGCAATCTTTCGGGATTGGCTTTTCTCATTAACATTGCTGGCTGGAGAGTCATCCAGGTCGCTGTGTATATCAATAACTCTTTTTTTTTTTTTCATTTTAAAATTGTTATTTTAAAAATTTTCTATAGGGCACATGCACTGTTAGAGACAGAGAGAGAAGAGAGAAAGTGAGAAATCACCCCCCAGGGGGAATGGTCACGCCGCAGTCCCTTCTCCTCCATTCTCCTCTTGGGATCTTGGGCACGCATGCACACGCGCCCAGTGTGAGTTTTAAGCCACCGGGTCCGGGACTCGAATCGCGGTCGACTACGTGGGAGTCCAGTGACATAGCCATTACGCTAACTGCTGGTCCCACATCCAGCCTTTCTAAAGTCACCAGGTCCGGGTCTCGAACTACAAAGTTGCCTGTGTGGGATCCAGCTTCCTTAATCACTAGGCCACCAGCTGGCCCACATTCTTTTTCACTGTTGAGTAGTACTCCACGCATGAACGTACCACAGTTGATTTGACCATTTGCTTCTGAAAGGATATCTGATATCCTTTTTGGCTACTGGGAATAAAGCTTCCTAAGATGAGTTGGAAGGCCTTGCCTCCTATTTACTGAAAGACATTGTGTAGAATAGGTGTTAATTTTTGCAACATTGCATAAAGTTCTCCAGTGACACTATCTAGGGATTTCTTTTTAGGAAATTTTAATATAAAACATTCAATTTCCCTAGTAATTACAGGGTTATCCAAATGATCGATTTTCTATTGATTGAGTTATGGTCATTTGTGTCTTCCGAGGAATTGATTCATTTGATCTATTTGTTAACTTTATGTGTTTAGAGTTGTTCATAGGATTCTTTTTTTTTTTTTATTTTATTATCATCATAATCTTCTTTCTATTACACTAGATTACATATAACTTTACATTGACTTCCATTGCTTTTTCAAAAGGGAATGCCATGCATGTCAGTCAATACAGAGATATCAATCTCCCCGCTTTATCATTCAATATCTTTTCCATGCTTTTCCCAATAATTATTATTATAATTTTTTTAAACAGTCAATCACTATTTCTCATTTTGCTTATTAAAAAGACTTCACCCATCATGAAATACTTTCCAGACCGGTTCAGTTGAGAATACTATACATGTCATCATCAACAGGTAATAAACCATATCTATTTCTCATTAACATCCTGCCTCTCTATTGTTCACTGCTGTCTTTATCCTCTTCTCCCTCCTTTTTTTTTTTTTATACTTTGTTTTTTATTATAAATTTTATTTTCTCATCACAACACACATATGAATTTTCCATCCAAAATACACTGTGCATTGGCTCAATCAAGCACATCAACATATATGTTCTCAGCAAATGATTTCCCAATTTTTGTGTCCTGCATACCTTGCCTTTTGTTTTGCCATCCTAGGTTCCCCATCCCCACCCTCTGCCATGTCCCATCTTCCTCCTCCATTGTCCCTGACATTCATGATTGCCCTCAATGGCTTCCGCCCCCCCC